CCTCCTAAAACAAAACAAAACAAAACAAAACAAAACAACTTGTGAAGGGACCCCTCTGATACCATCTGTAGCAACCAATTCTTGCTTTGGTGAACTTTCAAGTCCTCTAGTGGCAAATATACAATTAAAATGTTTACATGCTATGAAAAGGCCACAGCTGTTAAAGCCTATGGGCAAAATTATCATAAGTCAGTGCTGTAATAAATAACCGAGAACTTACATATGAGAATCAACCTAGATGACATCTCTGCCCTTGATCTTATTTCTTCTCCACATGTGTCGGTTCTTTCTGCATCTTATACATAAACTCTGTACCTTTTACATACTGGTAGATATGTTTCTAGAAGTAGAATCATTGGGTCAAAAGTGTACTTCTCATAGGCTTCAGAGGACACTTATGGCCAAAGGCTCCTTAGTAAGGTGGAGACATTTCCACCAGCAATGTACAAGAATGCCATTTCTTCAAGCGGAAACAACCTAGGGTATTTGCAAACTGATGGCAAATAATAGTATCTCATTTTAAATTCAGCTTTTTGATTATTAGGAAAGCTGAACTTTTCCCCAAATTTATGTATGTGTGTATTTTATTTATTAAAACTAGGGGCCCAGTGCACAAATTTGTGCACTTGAAAGGAACTGTGGGCCACGAGGCTGCGGTGGACGCAGGGGCGGGTCTCGGCCCACCCTGCACCCACTGATGGTGCCGAGCGATCGGGGCTGGTGCTGGGCGCCAGCAGCGGGTTCGAGCGGGGCCATTGCTGGCAGCAGGTGCGAGAGGCGGCTGCCAGCCTCAATCACCCCTCAGGAGCAGGGGGAGGTGGAGAAGCCCTGAGGGGTGGTCGGAGCCAGCAGCCGCTGCTTGCACCTGCTGATGGTGCCGAGTGATCGGAGCCAGCACCGGGCACTAACAGCAGGTGTGAGCGGTAGCTCCGGCGCCAGCTGGGGGTGCAAGCGGGGCTGGCACAGGCAGCAGGTGCAAGCAGTGGCTCCAGCGCCAGCAGTGGGTGTGAGTGCTGGGTGGGACCGTGGCACATGGGAGCAGAGAATTTTCAGTAACCACCAGAGGCTCGCCCCAATGACAGCAACCGACGCCCTGCCTTGGTCTGGCGCCCCCACTCATCTGCTCCACTACCCCACCACGGCCGGCGCCTGCCATGTTCTGCGCTCTGCAGCCTGCTGCTGATGTCCACCATGTTTCATGCGTGCCCCATGGTGGTCAGAGCATGTCATAGCGACTGGTGGTTTGGTTGTTTTGCAGTTCGATCTATTTTCCTATTCGGGTTTTATATATAGATACCCAGTCATATCTTTTGCCCATTTTTTAATCTTTGGCTATTTATTTTAATATTATACATTCATAAAAACTCATAGGTTGTTTCTGGCCTGGTGGCTCAATTGATTGGAGCTTTGTCCCATACACCAAAAGGTTTCTGGCTTGATCCCTGGTCAGGGAGTGTATGGTTGATGTTTCTCTCACATCGATGTTTCTCTCTTTCTCTCTCTCTCCCTTCCTCTCTCTCTAAAAATCAATAAAAACATATCCTTGGGTGAGGATTAAAAAAAACCCTCATAATTTGTCATGACTATTAACTCTTGATTTCAGAGAGGAAGGGAGAAGGAGAGTTTCAAGCTTATGGATGCTTTTGGTTGTCTTTTATTATTGATCCCTAATTGTATTGCATTGTACATGACTATTAACTCTTGATTTCAGAGAGGAAGGGAGAGGGAGAGTTTCAAGCTTATGGATGCTTTTGGCTGTCTTTTTATTATTGATCTCTAATTGTATTGCATTGTGGTCAGAGAGTGTGGAATATTTTATATTTCTTGCCACTACTTTGGAGGCTCAGTATATGGGTGGTTACTCCTTTAGCTTCTGGGGACCTGTGCTCTCCTTTTCACAGCTCTGCTCCTTTCTCAACCCTCCACTGGGCTCCATTCCATCCCAACTACTCACACCTTCACTGTCCTTGTGGCTGCTCTGGGCCCTACAGCATGTTCCAGAACAATATGTTCTTTCCACACTTGGCTGGCCCTGAGAATCAAACACCTGAGGTGCTTTCTTTTTTTTTAAAAAAAATACATTCTTATTGATTTTAGAGAGGAAGGGAGAGGGTGAGAGAGATAGAAACATCAATGATGAGAGAGAATCATTGATTGGCTGCCTCCTGCGTGCCCCCTACTGGGGATTGATCCCGAAACCAGGGCATGCGCCCTCCACTGGAATTGAACCTGGGACCCTTCAGTCCTCAGGCCAACGCTCTATCCACTGAGCCAAACTGGCCAGGGCCTGAGGTGCTTCTTAAACACACTGATTCCCAGGTCTTCCCTGGAAGGTCTGGGTCAAAGCCCTGGAATCTGCATGTTAGTGAATAAGGGCCCCAAGGTGGTTCTCATGACCAGCAAATGCGGGGCATACTGTGCAGCTGGGAATCAAGGCGTAGGACAGGATGGAATGCAGTGCTGGGTAGGAGCACCTGTTTTGTGCCCGGCTGTGTTCTGAGCTACTACGATGGCTAAGACACAGTCTGGTGGGAAAGTTGTGTATATAAATGAAAGATGACACGACCGTGTGAGGGGAACCCATGGGAGTTTCTGAGGACAGTTCTTTGGGTTCTGATCCCCAGCAATATTCATTAGTCTTTCCATGAACAAACCCTTTGGAAAACTGTAACGAGATGCTCAGTAAACGTACAGTGACATATAGCTCAAGTCAGATCTTATCTCTCTCACTTAGTTCAGAGTAGACTATGAGGAGGTGCAAGTAATAAACATAATGGTTAGGATTTTAGACTGTGCTGTCATAAGAACTGTGATCCAATCTGGGCCAAGATGTTTACTTTCTATGTGGTTTTAGGCAAGTTGCTTAACCTTCTGAGCCTCAGTTTCCTCATCTGTAAAATGGAAGGATAATAATACCTACGTCTGTGCGTAGTTATGAGAATTAAATGGGGAAAATGTGTGTGAGATGTCAACATAATATCCAGTACACAATATGTGCTCAAAAAATGTTAATTAAAAAAAGAAGGCACTTTTACCCTTTGCAACAGCATGGATGGACCTGGAGTGTATTATGCTAAGTGAAATAAGCCAGTCAGAGAAAGACAAATACCATGTGATCTCACTGACATGTGGAATCTAATGAACAAACAAACTGACAAACAAAATGGAACCAGAAGCGTGGACACATGGAACAGACTGGCCGGTGCCCGAGGAGAGGGTGGTGGTGGTGACTGGATAAAGAAGGAGAGGGGATGAGTTCCAGAACATATATGCATACCCCATGGACACGGACAGTAGTTTGGTGAAGGCCAAGGGAATGAAAGGTGGGGGGGGGGGCAAAAGGCATGGAAAAAGGGGACACTTGCAATTATGTCAACATTAAACATTTTTAATTAAAAATTATAATCTAGGGAACAAGATAGAGTGGAAAGTATTGTCATTAATGTAATCAAATGGTGATATCTATGTGTTGCAGGTACTAGACACAAGGATTCTCTGGAATCTAAGGGATGCTCTGCCAACACAACACAATGTCCTCTGGCCCCTCGTCTCCTGTTGTCACAGGTCCAAGTGTCAGTGAGCCTCCGGGCCCCTGCAGAGTGTCTGCTCACCCAGCGTAAGTAAGGATCCGGTGAGGAGCCATTGACAGCGGGGCAAACTCTGACCAGGGAGCCAACAGTCTGATGGGTAGCTTGACATCTTTGGGAAGAACATGGATTCTGGAGCCAGACCAGGTTAAAATCCCAGCTCTCCCACTTAGCATCTGTGTGAATTTGGACAAGTGATTAGCTGACTCCCTGGCATATAATAAGTGCTGTGCAAGTGCTTGCTATTAGGAAGTTCAAAAGCAGGTGAAACGAAACTATGTGTTTTAGGAATACATACATACACACATAGGTGGCAAATCTTAGAGAAAAGCAGAGAAATGATTACTATGAGGGTCCGAGTCAGGATAGTGGTTACCTCACTGGGAAAGGTAAGCCATCGGGCTTCTGGGGAGCAGGCAGGGAGGGCTGGCCTTGCTTTGTTTGTTTCTTGTCCTGGATGTTGGCTCCATAATCTACACTAATAAAAGAGAAACATGGTAATTGGCATACGACTGCTACCCTTCCCATTGGCTAATCAGCATATCCTTATGCAAATTAACTGTCAGCCAAGATGGAGGCCGGCAGCCATGCACTGAAGCGAGCAGGGAGGCTTGCTTGCTCCAGTGACTGGCAAACTCCAACGTTCCCCGCCTAACTTGCCGGCCTCTCAGCTGCAACTCTAAGCAACTATGTTGCAAATATAGAAGCTAA